ATGCGCAGACAGACACACACACACACACACACACACACACACACACACACACACACACACACACACACACAACTTTCTATTAACTACAATTACGCAATAATTGAAGTACTTGCAAAATTGTTGAAGAGGACTGTAAATAATAAATTATTAAAATATTAAAATACGGGATTTTAACTTGTAAGTGGGAATGTATGGGGTCAGGCAGTTGGTTTTATTTCAGAGCATCCTTAGCAGAATGTGAAAGATTAGCATTTGATATAACAGGCTGGAGAAGAACTAGTTGTGAGTTTGAAGTTAATGCACACACACAGTGTCACACACACACACACACACACACACACACACACCAAAAAAAGAAAAAAAAGGGAAAGAAAATCAAAAGGAAAAGGGCTGGGAGCAACAAGCTTGGAACGCAAGGAGTGAAATCCACCAAACCAGAATCAGTGACGAGTAGACAATCATACCATGAAAAGGAGAGAAACAGCGTATGTGCCATACGGGTGAAACCATGTACCCGCTGACAAACAGATGATGAGGAAATCATAAAGTGTAAAACAATGTTTAGGCCCTTAGGGGCTATCCCCCTTTTGTTGGTATAAAACAGAACAAAACAAAACACAAAAACTGACAACATGATGATGATGATGATGATGATAATGATGATGATGATGATGATCACTATCACAATGCCCTGGCGAGGATCACACCCACAGCAGAGGCAATGGCAGTGTGCCAAACAACAACCATGTCAACAACAAGATCCATGTCGTGATCATTGTAATGATGATGATGATGATGATGATGTTGAAGAAGAAGAAGAAGAAGAAGATGATGACGATGATGATGATGATGACTGCGACAATGATGATCATCATCAGCAGCAACGGCAGCAGAAGCAGACAGCAGCACCAGTGGCAGTATACATGGCAGCTGTGCCAGATGTGCTGATGTTATTCACTTTTTAATAACTAGCTGCAAATCATATTCCATTAAAATTGAAACCATACAAAGAAGATTAGCATGGCCCTGCACAAGGATGACACACATACATAACAAAAATGGTCCCCCCCCAAAAAAAGCGGAAAAAAAAAAAGTATTTCACAGATAAAGGATGAGTAGCAAGTTGTCCTTTGGGACATCCGTTACAATTGGAACGATGTAGAGAAGATGAATCTAGCAATCGTCCAATTTTATTTTTTTTTGGGGGGGAGCATGAGTACATTGAGTAGCAAGTTATTTGACTCGAAGCGTTGAAGGTTGTTTTCAGCCTTTCAGACTTTCAAAATGTGTCCCCATACAAATTTCATTAGGTCAGATGCTTCTGTCCTTAGGAAAAAAGAAAGGATGCTACCGTCCTACGAAAAACGGAGAGGAGTTTGTTCAAATTTCAAAAGGATGGGAAAGGTCTGCGACTCTGCTTATTATGTAGAAGGGGTCTTTTTTTTTCTTTTTTTTTTTCTTCTTCTTTCTATCTTTGTTCTTTGTTCAATGACCCGTTTTTTAGCACACAGTTACTCTATTCACGACAGGGTTACTGCACCCGTAAATCTATGCATGTGGCTGTAGGTCTCTGGAGCTCAGTGGGCAGAGAGAAAAGGGCTGTTAAGTGCGCCGATGTCGACTTCTTAGTGGACGATGTGGGCCTCTGTTTCGGAGCCTATCAAGGGGCGGACTACTACAGAACATATGTCGAACAACGATACTGCAAGGAAAATGAGCGATAGTGAACTTCAGAAATCAAACAGCATCATACACATGAGACCAGATAGTCGTGACCTCGAACCAATAGCAGAATTGCATCACAAGTTCAACCAAATAAGAGCACAGCAAAAGCTCATAATTGACAATGCTGGAATAATCTCATCATCATCAACGAAGAACCAATGTCGATATCCTATCTGGCGCTCGGCGGCCAGACTACTAATGGCAGATCCTATCAAGCCTATCTACAATTCCGCTGGTGACATCAACAGCTCCCCGAAGTACGAGCAGATCTCGGCCAATGCCGTTCGCTTCAAGCACCAGGTATGTCTCTCGTATCACTCACAACCTCGTTCCCCAAGTCACAGATGCCACATGCACCCAAGAACCACCATGCGCCCCATCCAGCATACCGCAGCACAGCTCGGCTATGGCTGCCTGCTCCTTCCAGCTCGCCCGTGAGCGCGTGAGCGCGGGCCAGCGTTATCGCAGCAGCGCTTGCGCAGCATGCAGCCAGTGCCCGAATGCCGAATGCCGAATGCGTGGGCAGGCACTTTCCTAAATGCCTGCTTGCGTGCAGCTTGGCTGTGCTGGGCCCCTGCCCAGAAGCTTCCGGTAGGCCCAGAGAGGCTGAGCCCTAGTCCAAACAAATCAGGCCCTGGGCCTGTGGTGGTTGCCCGTATCCAACTGCCCTCGGCCTGTGTTCGGTCCATGTTGCGAATCTGGCCCACGCCCTGCCTCAGTTACATTCGAAAGAGACAGCCTGGGCCTGGGCGCTCTCAACCAACTGGTGCTGCGCAACTGCCTGAATTTCCCCAGTTGCGTGGTGACCCCAAAAATGGCCTGTAGGCCTCGGTCGAGCCTGCCTTCACTTAGGGCGGCCGACTGTGCTGAAAATAGGGCCCAGTAGGGCGTATCGAGGCCTTGTGCCTCGCAATACCTTACCTAACCTCAAGAGGCGCGGCTCTTGCAAGAGCCGACGAAGGCCTCTAGCAAGCCTGCGGAGGCTCGCAGCAGAGTTGGCAACAAATATAGGGAACACAGCATGGTAACCATGAGCACTTTTTGTTTTTGTGGGGGCGAATTCCTTCTGCACACTAAGCTTTGCCGAAACACCAGCACGACGTTTTTTTTTTTTTTTTTTTTTTGGGGGGGGCTGACATGCCCCGCCAGGTTGGGTCGGTAGTCTTTAGCTTCCAACATTTTTGGATTGGCTGGTTTTCGATTCTCAAGTTTGCCAGGGGCAAGGTACTGGTGGTTTTAAGGGCATACTCACACCAGGACCTTGGAAGCAATTGCAGTCAGATTCATCTGAGTCACGCCGTAATTGCAGTCAGATACATTTAGAAAAGTCCTTGTGCAAGTATGCCCTAAGGGAGGGATTGATGTAATGGCGTTTTGGTCATGTCGAGCTCAAGGGGACAAATTGTGGTCTTCGGCGATCCCTCTGTCCGAGTCCGTCCGGGTGTTTCCCCCTTCTCTTCAGGGACACTGAACCCGGCTCATGAGAATGGTTTTCTAAACTTTCTGGCGCTAATAACTTGATTGATTGTCACTGTTTCTAGACGGAAAGCTGCACCACATACAGCTATAATGACCGGGCGTTCTATTCGGGTGAAGACGGTGCGAAGAAGAAAAAAAAGAAAAAGGACATGGGAATAATGCACAAGGAAGGAACACACAGTAGGATGTTCACAATAGAATGGAGCTACTAGCAGAGGAGTGGGTAACAGGGGTGCGGACGGCCATGTAGGCGACACTGCCGCGACAGAGATAGGAAAACAGTAGGACAACAGGTGGCTCGAGGAAGCGCCACAGACAACCCCCTCGTGCCTGGCCTCTCTCCGGCTTATGACATGTTGCACGACTGGGTGCTGCTAGTAAGCTTCCCGGCCTGCAGGCCAACCCCCTATGAAAGTTGCCAAGGCTTGGGGGGAGGGATGTTCGGTAGTAGTCCGCCCCTTGATGGGCGTCTAGTACCGCAAGGGTTGGGCCGTTGGTTTTCTTTTGTCTGTTCTCCCCACTCTCCTCTGATGGATGTAAAAAACTTGCTTGCCGGTGATAAGCAACCCGAGTGATGCCCCACAGAATAGAAGGGGCTTTGGTTTGGGGAAAAAAGAAAAAAAGAAATAAAGAAGAAGAAGAAGAAGAAAGGGAATGGTTGTCTGAAGTTTCTGGCGCTAATAACTTGATTGATAAAGAGTATTACCGACCGACGTCCAGTGACATGCAGCCATTGCATTCAGACAATGTCAGACATTGTTGCGGTAGCTGGACAACAGGCAGGCTCGTATGATGGGAAAGGAGTGACACTCCGAGAAGTTTGTTAGTGCACCCTTTTCGCCTGAGAAACGACAGCTGGACGCATTGGGGGCTTTAACGGCTTGATAAATGAGACCCTCATTTGGATTTTTCTTTTCTTTTCTTTTCAAAAGACTCAGCTCATTTTATTACCACCGAAAAAAAAAAAAAAAAAAAAAAAAAGCACTTCCGGACCTCTGCCCTGACACTCATTTGCATTTCTAAGGCACTGCGACTGGAAAGGAAACTAGATTACTCTTTTTATCTTTTGTTTCCTAAATGGGTTACCCCCTAACAGTATCATCCTATTTGACAGTTTCAACAGGATTTAAAATCTTTTTCTTTTTCATTTTGAAAAATGGGAGGAAATCATTCCCGATTTACGAGTGCCATGCTTGTGCAGGCGCCATGCTAATCTTCTCTGTATCGTTCCAATTTTAACAGATGTCCTGAAGTACACAGGATTTGAAATCTTGATCTCTGCATCAGTTATTCAATGTACATACTACACAGCATGCATCATTCCAATTTCGCTGCGCAGAGAGGCAAGCATCCCGTTTCTTCTTCTTCTTCTTCTTCCTCTTCTTCTCTTCTTCTTCTTCTTCTTCTTCTTCTTCTTCCCTTTCCTTTTTCTTTTCTTTTTTTTTCTTTTTTCTTTTCTACCACCAGTTCAAACGAGCCTAAGGGACGACGCCAGAAGGCTTCACTCAAGTAAGTGCTTCACTCATTTTTCAAGAGAAATCTATTTCGCGCTACCTTGAGTGGTTTCTTC